CACTACTATATGTCCAGCTACCTCCCAGAGCACACAAGATCAGGAGGGCAGTGCCATGATAATCTTAAACAAGGATATTTTTGAAATACTGGTTTTGGAATACACGGGGGTTTTCTTTGGTACCGGGGATCGAACTCGGGTCCTTGCGCTTGCGAGGCAAGCGGTAGAACCACTGAGCTAAATTCCTGACCCCTTAAATTTTAATTTTATCCCCCCTAAAAATATTCCCCCTTGCTTTAAACACTTTTCCTATCATTCTTGCCACTTTATGAAGCAGTTCTGAAAGCCCTCTTTCATGTGGGCTATCAGTTTCATCCTTTATCAAGCCAGCGCTCGATTTCACACATGGCTTCTGGCATGATAGTTCCTGTTAAATACAAACATGGCAGTGTGTCCTCACCCACCTTCACTGGAACTGCTCCATGGAGCTTGCAGTTCTTCCCTAAAGTCAAAATGCCCATGTTCACCAAAATCAATTCAGGACATGAGGCAGCCAAGACAACTAAAGACACTCACAAAGGAGGACTTCCAGAACTGCTTCAGAAAGCCACAGGAATGATAGGATAAGTGTGTTCAAATTGAAGGGAAGTGTTTTGAAGGGGATAAGTGACAATGTGTCTTTTATTGTAATACATTTTAAAAATTTAAACATCCACCATATTACTTTATTACACTTTGTATATAGGCTGCATCTCTCTTTTCTAGTATATTTACAAAGGCATTGACTGAAACAAATTTCAGAGCTGGTGAATCTTTTGAAAGTATTTTTACCATTACATGAGGACTTAAAATAGAATAAATATATAGCTATTCATTCTTAAAATTGTGGTTGATTTTAACAAAAATTTTTAAGAAAAAAATTTGAACTGCTTTTTATACAGAAAAGGATGAAAAATTTTGATATGGATTGACTAACAATGTGATACTCTACCCCCAGAACTACTTAGAGACTATGAATTTTAGCTTCCACTCTGGTCTAATTATCTTTATAAAATACGTAACTATATTCCTTTCTGGAACAAGATGTGGTCTTTCCTTTTCAAAATTTTTTTTCTTTTCCTAAATTATAAAACATTAGTTTATTTGACATTGCAAAAAAAACTTGACATTTTTTCTTATTGATACATTTCAGGCTGGGTATTGGCCACAATTATATTATGAACTACGTTGTGGAGAAATCTGTTAGGAATAACAAAATTATTTTGTCTTGTCCTCTGCTTGGACTCTGTAGGCAAGACTCACTTGAGGCTTTTTTTCCTGAGTTCAAAGAAAAATTTATGATATTCAATATCAGTAACAAATCTCTCTGAGAGTGTGGAGCATTGCAAATAGTCTTTTGATAGCTTTTATGAATGGTCTCTGAACTTTTTTATCAAACTCTTATCAGTAAATATATTTATTTTTGTTTACTTTAAAATTATATATATTCCTCTATATAAACTTATACTTTAGGAAAATTATGTCAAACTTAAAATTTCATATGGAAAAATGAATAATACTTTTTAAATAATTTCATTAAAAATTTAAAACCTAAAAAATTTAAAGTAATTTTAAATTATATTAATGATTAAATATTATTTTCATTAATATAGTTATGCCTTATCATTATTGAAAATTTTCTTTAGTACTTTGTAACATTGTAATTAAATGTTTTAAAGTGAGATTTAGTGTTCTTTTCATTGGCTGTCATAGTTATAAAAGACTCCTCCATAGATGTGTATATTCCAGTGGATACAGTGTATCAAAGGCTGTGTTTTCTGAATTGCAACATCCATCTTTCAATTTAGTACCAGTTATGTAAAGGCTGTGGGTAAGATGATGTTCACAGACTTCCTTTTTTCCGTAAGTCTTGAGAGGACAGGAATTCTGAAGAGCCAGGCCTGGATTAATTTTACCCTTTTTTTGTCTTTTGCTATCCAGCAGCTACAGGTGTTCTTTATGAAGAAGGCCCCATTTTCAGGATTGTCCATACTTGAATATGAAGATCAGCTCTTTCCTAAACACTGACCTCTCAAGGAGAATAGTTCCTATCTGTGCAGTGCCCTTCTTTCCACTCAGAAGTTTGGCTTTTGTACATAGAGAGCTTTGCAGTTAACGTTTGTGCCCAGCCACATTTCCAAACTGCTGCCTCCCTCTGTAACTGTGCCTCCCGCGCCAACCCTGAGCACAGTTGCTCCGCTCTGCGAGTCCCCTGCCCAGGAAACGGAAATGGAGATGCGCCATCCTGTGAGAAGGCGCCGGGTCCCAGGCCCTGTCTTGGCTGGAGCTTGGAAGAGTGAAACCCCCAAATCCACTCTATGACTCACAGATCACTCGGGGTGGCTTTTGCGCTTTCTAGTGCGGCTTTGTTTCAGATCAGGGCTGGCTGGGGAGGAAGAGTCCTGGGGTTGCTGAGGACGACTTGGCGGGCATCCTAGAAGTGGCCGTATCCCAACTCCTTTCCCTCCCCTAAGGAGCCGCGAGACACTTCTCTTCCGCACCATCTACCCCCATCTCACTATTCAGCTTGACCCTAAGCCTCTCAAAGTATAGGAAGATGACATTTACCGTGAGAGTGAATGCCCTCGGCACGGACGCGATGGGATTGCAAAACCTCCAGCCCTGGGCTTCACGGTCACCTTAGAATTGAAGCCAGGAGCGAAGCAGGGCTCTAGCAAAATTGCTCTGAACTTCACCCAGAGCCGCTCCACCAAGCTGGTTCCCGGAGCACAGCCTGGGGCGAGCATCTAACTTTAGACAGTTTATGGGAACAGCAGCACCCAGCCTCTCAGTGCAGGGCAGAGCTATCCAGCTGACCCCCAGCTAATCCCCCCGCCTCCAGCACGGAGCAGGGTCCGCACCCTCCTGCTCGGCCGGCCTCCGACCCACGGTGTAAATCCTGGAGGGGTTGATGTCGAGGGGCAGGAGGTGTGCGTGGTCCAAGATTCAGCAGGAAAACACACGGTCCTTCCACCAAACCCAAAGCTGTCCAGTATCCCGAGAAGCACACAAAACTGGCTCTGGGGTCTTGCTGCCACAAAGGGGCCCAAGATGAAGCTTCTCGCTCTTGCTCTTTGGCAGAATCCGGGGTTTGTTTTGTTTTGGTTTTTTCCTCCTGGCTAATGAGAGATATTTTTTCCCCTCTAAAGCTAGATCGTTTACTTCATCAAGAAAATGTGTTAATAATTAATAAGGACTCCTATACACAATGAAGTCATAGGTAGTGACTGTTTTAAAATGTAGATACAAGTTCCATCCCGGTACCAAAATAAATAAATAAATAAATAAATAAAGTATATATGAGAGACTCTATTGTCACAAAATAGGTATAGTCCCCCCACCCCCCACCCCACACCACCACCACCACTAAGCTAGACCCCAGCCCCGGGTGTGCTGTTACTAGAAAAATAAACCTGCTAGAAAGAAGGGCCCATGATCTCTTTTAAAATTAAAGTAGTCATTTTTGTCAGATGTTCTCCGCCTTGTAACTAACGTGGAGAGATTAATTCTACACAACATGTTGATTTATTCCATTTCCCTAAAAATAGTTATTTATACCACTTTAGAAGACCATACGCCAGGAAAGGACATTAATAGTAAATGTTCTGTGAAGCTTCACTAAATTTTTTTTAAACATCAGAAGAATTTTGACACCAATACTTTAAGATTTTGCAGGCATAAATTATGTGACATTTTCAATAGAGTTTGAGTAACCTCGTTTGCCCTTTCTTCTGGGCACTGCAGCTGGCTCTGATTTCTGGAGGAAATCCTGTCTGCCTCCAAAAGATGTACCTCATGCCACCTTCATGTGCAGTGGAAGCGGCTTCTGCCCCATGTGTGTGGCATGGCTGCCAGCCCAGGCCAACTGCTGCCGGCTAGAACATGTGACTCTGTGTCAAGTGACTACCACAAGGCAGCCAGGACCCGGGTCTCAAGCACAGCCTGGAATCTCAGCTGTGTGATACAAACCAAAATGATGGCAAGAAGCAATCTTTGGGGGAATATTACTAGAATGATATGTAATTTATCCTCTAAAACTACATAAAATTAATTTGTTTTACTTTTATGAATATTTTGAGGCATCTACCTACTTACTTCTTTGAACAGTTAGAAACCTGGGAGTCAAACAAATTTATCCTTAGCAAGTTATCACTGACAATTATGAGTTTTAATTTTTATTTTGAATGTTTATATGATAACCTTGCCTTCCAGTTCTTTCCTATTTCCCCTATTTTCATTTTTGTTTTTCTTCCTGTGTTCCTATTCCACTCAATTCAAATTGATTTTTATCTCACTGTTAGCTCTATTTATTTAAAATGCCTGAAAACCTTTAAAATAGGAAAATAAATAAGGACTAGGCTATCTGATCCTTTGAATTATTTTTAAAAGGCAAATAAAATTCTCTTTTCCTAAATAGATATAACAAGAACCAGGATATATTATGTTATAGAATTGGAACAATTGTGCAAAACATTGTTATAAACAAATCTGCTGGTTAATACTGAGAGCACTATTTCATGAAATATTGAAAGTGGGCCCCAAACACCAAGGCCAGAGGCAACAGAACAAGGACAATGATGACTTAGGGAGCCAGTCCTGAGGGAAAACGCCAAGACACACTAGTATGACACATATTAGTATGAAAAATGACTACATACAATCCACGTGAGCCTAAATTTCTGTTATTTTGATTCTATCCATCAAACACGGATTCCTCAAGGTGTGGTCATCAATATTCTGCATGTATCATAGAAAGTAGATCTTTTGGGGAAACGTTTTAAAAATATGACAAGCAATGATGACAAAGAACCATCACATAAGCCAGGAGGTAGGAAAAGGGGTGAGAGAGAAAATATGAAGTGAATTCTGGACAAATAATAATTTAAGACAAACCTATATGAACACAAGACAATGATGAAAGACCAGGAAATTTTATTGTTCAGGAAAAACTTGATTTTTTCTATTAGAAAAAAAAGTAGAAATGATTTCATAAAGTAATGAGAAGAAAGTTAGAAGGGAAATGTGAGACTTAATATGTTTATTATAAAATAATGTGGATATTCTTTCAACTATATTCACATGAACCTATTTGTGTAAATATCCAAATATTTAGAAATTGGAGTGCAATACCGAATTTCACCAGAGGATGGTAGAATAGGATCAAAACATATGAAAAGGTGCTACTTTGTTTTTCTCTCAGTTCTCAACCGCCTTAAGTGATGTGTCTAGTAGAATTATAAAAACGTAAGTGAGATGATTAGTCAGTTAGTTGTTTTTGTTAGTCTGTTTTATTGGAGGGGGTTAAGGAAAGGAGAGTGGGGAGAACTCTATCTTATGATATAAATTATGACTTGAAAGGTCCTTGTGACATCAAATCAACACAAACGAAATAAAGCCTGGGAGAAAACTATCAACTTAGCAGACAAACTTCAAAAAGCAAACTAAGTTGATTTGTAAGAACTTCCAAATAATTGGGAAGAAGAGAATTAATTAGCCAACCTCAACCTTCTATGGTGAGGAGAGACACCTGACAAGGGTCCAGGGAGTACTCAGCAGGAAACAGGATTCTTTTTCTACTACTGCAAATGTCCAGTGCACATCCTGCTTATTAGCATTCTGTGCCTTCCACCCTTACCACACACCCTTCCCTATCTCACTTACCCAACCTCTAACAATTACAAGCAATTTAGAAAATCTTTAATGGGGATTTCAGCTGCTGAGCAGGGATGCTAAAGGAAAGAGAATCCAAAAAAAAAGGGCCGCAATTCATTTCAAACACTGAGTACCTGCTGTGTGGGGGCGACCAGGTCCTGGAGTTTCAAAGATAAACAAGACTGAAAACTGCAGGAGTCAAGAGCTCCTGCCTACCTCTCAGTCCTTGGCCCGCGGGCTGTCTCACTAACGGCCTCCAGTACCTTGTGAACAAGCACGCTGACAGTGAGGCTCTTGGGGGGGTGCTAAATCCCTCTGAGAGGATCCAACACCTTACTTGCTCCTTCTTCCTGGGATTCCTGACCTCCTCCATCCTCCTCACCCCAGACTGGGGATTGAACCCTGGGCCTTTGGCCTGAACTGTGTTCTTAGCCCTGTTTCATTGTTTTAATTTTGACATAAGGCCTTGCTAAGTTGCCCAGGCTGGGCTCAGACTTGTGATCCTCCCTCCTCAGCAGCCCAGAGTACTGGGAAGGGAGCTGCCCCCCCACACACACACACACCCCTTGGCACTTCTTCACCACTTGAATGGGTTTCTCCTGGCCCCTCTGCCCCAGACAGTCTCCCTGAATTTCTACCTCCCTGCCCTTGCAGCTTTCTGAGGATAGACACACCTGCCTCCCGGCCCAGTCCCACCTCTCCTACACGATGCTCCTTGCCCTGCATTCAGTATCTCCTTTTGCCTCTGTACAGAGTCCTGCCCTTGGGTTTGAGGACGGCTGCAGATGGGCTTCTTAAGGATCAAGGCAATGACAGGCACCCTACACAGGCAAAGAATGGCAAAGTCAATTATCCATGGAAACTACCAATATTTACACTACAACTGTGCACAATATTGTACCTCACCATTTCTTTGTGGCAAAATAAACAAACTCTAATATGCCAGAGCTACCTTTTGCATTCTTATTTCTTGGAAGTGATCCAAGAAGAACAAGTTCTGAATTTCTCATTCTTCACCCTGCTTCTGTTGGTGTTCTTGGATGGTGATCTTGGATGAACTGCTTCACATCTCTGACCTTCAGTTTCCTCATATATAAAACCAAATTAAGAATAACATTTAGCTCATAAGTGTGTTGTCAGGGGCAAATGAAATAATACCGTCTATGAAAAATATCTTAGCATGTTACTTGGAAAAGAGTAAATGTTAGGATAAAATTATACAACTGCAAATTAAAGCCATTTTCTTTTTTTTGGTACTGGGGATCAAACTCGGGACCTTGAGCTTCCAAGGCAGGCAGGGGAACCACTGAGCTAAAACCCCAGCCCAACCATTTTCTTTTTTAAAACTACGTTTGAATCATTTAAGAAATCAGAAAGTACTAGCATTATAAATTTTATCTGTAGCAATTTTTTAATAAAATTTTTAAATAAATTTTAATTTTGAAAATTTCAAGTGGCAAATATATAAAATACCTAATTAATAAGAATCAGATTTCACATCAGACTATTCAATCCTTCAATTCTTATAGAGCTGCTGATTCAGACTTCTCCCTTTACAGTTGTTTCTCTCTGCCATTTGCACTTTTAGTTGGATTTCCCTTGGACTTTAGGGTTAAATACACCAATTAAAATTTTTTCAAGGTAGAATTAACTATAAAATGAAAAGCAAACTATTCCCTCACACCCAAAACTTTCTATTTTTCCCCAGAAATAATCACTATTTTTATCAAGTTCTTGCCAATCTTTCAAGTTTCTGAACCTATTATTTTTCATACACAAGGACAGCATACTGAAATACTCCTCTGCATCTTGCTTTTTCACTTAATATAAATATCATACAACATAACATATAGACCTACTACATGATTTCTAACAGCTACATAAATGGTCCCCCTTTGATTAATGTAACACACCTAGCTGCCCTATTGCAAGGCAGTAACATATGATTCGTGGTTATATAAATAACAATGCTTTATACATTTTTTGTATGTATGTATGTGCTCATGTTAGCAAGAAGATGTGGAGGACAAATTTCTAGAAATGCCACCATAAGGTCAAGGTCAATGCATTTTAATTTGAATAAATATTGCTGTCAATCTGTCCCCCTCCCATCAGTGGTAGCAGGTTCCATGCATCTCTAAGCAGAGTATATGAGTATCTGCTTGCTTGTATACCTCCACCATATATACTGTCCAACTCGAATAGGGTTCAATCTAATAGGTGAAAAAAATACTACCTCTTTGGTGTCTCAATATTCACTTTATAAATTATGAGTGAAACTGATCATTCCATGTTATTAGCCATCTGTACTTTTATGAACCACCTGTGAAAATATTTCTCATTAGCTATTTGTTTTCTTAAGAATTTGGAAGTGGGCCAGGGATTTAGCTCAGAGGCACCGTGTCTGCCTCCCAAGTGCAAGGTCCTGAGTTCGATCATCAGTACTGGAAAACAAACAAACAAAAAACAATTTAGAGGTGTTCTTTCTATATTAAATGAATTAATCCATAGTCTGTCATATGTGATGCATTACAATTTAAAAAGTAATAATTAAACATTCATATTTATATATCATATAGATAGCTACTCCATATATACAGCCTAAAAAAATTTAAAATTTAAGAGTAAATTTATTTTTATAGTAAATGTCATTCTTGCAATTTATTATTGTATTTTAAAATTAAGTTAGCAATAACAAGAATCACTTATTCACTATATTTATCCATTTATACATGTGACCCATAGATACAATACTTCAGTCTTTATATCATATTATAAAAAGATACTGTACTAGGGATCAGGCTTCTAGGTGCCTTACTTGAAGAACTGGGTTTTGGAGTTTACCTCTTTTAATGTACTATTTATAGTTATTTCAAAGTAGGAATGTAAAGTCATCCAGGTATTTGATTAAATAATTCTAGAAGAAACCTATGCTAATCAAAAAGAGTTGATACTAGCAAAAAGAAGTAAAATGATCACATGTTTTTCATAAGCTCTAGTGAGTGATGAATGCTAACACCAGAAAAAAATGACTATTGTCTAATTTTGCAAACTCTATATTTTTCAATAAATAATGTCCCAAGTAGAATGTTTCTAATGGAGAGAAATTATCATTTGGTTCTTGTTTTGTTTTGTTTTTTGGGTACCAGGGATCGAACTCAGAACCTTGTGCTTGAGAGCCAGGCGGTGGAACCACTGAGCTAAATCCCCGGCCCTCATTTGGTTCATTATATGTCCCCCATAAGTAACAATTTTCCAAAAGTATTTGCCAACTAAATATGCAATTCACAGATAATTATAACTGTCATGAGTGTCATCTAGTTAATACCATATATTTAGCCTTAAACATAAATCAGTAATCTAAAGATAAATTTATTTCCCATATTGAACTATATCTACTATGTCTCTAATGCATCTTACCTTCACATATTCATCTCTTATTCTTAAAGCATCATATTTTATTTGGTCCATTCCAAACTTGAGAGATTTTTTTATCTACTATTTCCAGTAATCTAAATGTACATGGCATTTACTACACTATTAATCTTTTGCAGCAGTATAATTTTAGGAAATAAATACAGGTCCAGGAAAAATGAGAAGCCAAACAATGTTGAAAGTAAAGATAAATAAAGCCAGGCACAATGGAGCATGCATGTAATCCCATGTACTTGGGAGGCCAAGGCAGAAAGATCAAAAGTTTGAAGCCAGCCTGTGCTGCAGTTCTATCTCAAAAATAAAACTAAAAGGGATGAGGTGTACATATCTCAGTACTAGGTACTCACTTAGTATGCATGAGGCCCTGAGTTCAAGCCCCAGGACTAAGCATAACCCACAAAAAAGTAAAGGTCAATGTTATTCCAAAGTAATGACATGCTCCCAAGTCCTTGGATATTTAGGCTGCCCTAATCATGATGAAATGGTCACTCTTGACCTAATGTTATTAGTGAAGTTAGCAGATCAGGCTTAAAATTAGATAAAATGATTCTAGAGGTCATCTGCTTACAAAAGTGCAGATAGAGATGTTTCTGCTGTCTTTAAGCTTCTTTTGCCCCACATACGTTTTGATTTGTGAGAATAACATGACTTCGATGACTGAGAAGATCCAGGACTATGAGAGTGGGGAGACGCTCTCCGCATGAGGTTCCTGGAAATGGCTCTCTGGAGATTCTTCACTGAAGCCCCTGTAGTCATGGTGATCACCCAGGGATGATCCAGCGCTTGGCCAGCTGACATTCGATGACTAGCCTCCAAAATCAGCAGTTTGTCAATAAAGTCCTTCGCCAAGTGAGAAATACTTGGCCAAGGCTAAGAAAAAACATAAATAAATAAAACTGTATAAAATAAATTTAAAAACACACAGCGAGATTCATATTCAAAAATAAAGCAATGCCTATCAAATCCAAAAAGCTTTTCCAACAAGCAATGTGAATACTGTGTTATTATAATATATTGCAAACCTAAAATTTCACTTTTGAGAAGAAAAAAGATCTCTTTAGCCAAAGAAAAACATGGCAAATCTCTTCCAACCCTCTGACGGAAGAATGGGAATTCCTTTCCAGATATCTGTCCTGCGTGCTACTGTTAGCAACAAAATTCCCACATCCCATCTACAGGAGCTGGGCCAGGCACTGCAGCTGCTTTGACAGACTATATCACGCTAGTGTTTGCCCACACTGGTCATCTCTCGAAGTCCCTGTGACACCAAAATGAGCTAGAGTGGAAAGCAGACTAGATTCAGGAATCATCAACTTTTCTCTCCCTTTGAAAGCTTACTCAGAACTCAAGATGCCACAGCCTCCACAGCTGGAAGGGGAAGGGAAAGAACAGAAGGGGCAATTCAGCAGAGGATCCCCCTGCAGTGCCTTTCTTCCAACACACAGCGTTTTCTGTGTCCCAGTGAGTTGATACAAATGGGACTGGGCAGAGCTATGACACAGGGCAATATGCACAACCAGCTTTTTGATTTTTCACCAACTCATTCTGTCAACATTTACAGTATTTGCACAAACTCTGAGTACAACCAGAGCAATTTACAATGCCAATTGCAAAGATAGGGACAAAAATGGGCTGTTGCTTTATACTTCAACTTTTCTGCACTTTCTACCAACACATAGAGATGAGGAAGTAGCTCAGTAGTAGAACACTAGCCTAGCATGCTCAAGGTTCTGGGTTTGATCCCAGGGAGGGGAAAAAAAAATCCCATAACCAATACAAACCTGGGAAAAAAAAGCCCTAAGGTTTTCTATCCATTTCCTCTAAAAAGGAGAACATGGAGAAAATTGCCCACACATTTGCTGTATCTAAAACCCAATTTCCAAGTACTGTGTTTTTTTTCTTTTAACTCTGTCTAGGAAGGATAAGAGAATCTTGACAATCCATTGTCTTTGCCTTTGTGTATGAAAAAAAAAATCAAACTCCATGCATACATGTCTCATACTCCAATCTGTTAGCATCTCTTAACCTAGAATTCGAACAAGAAACCAGTAAGTAAAGGCATTATTCTTTTTAATTTTTTTGCCTTCAGTTTATTTAGGTAAATGAGATGTAAAGAACATTTATTTCCAAAACAAGTGTTATAAAATAAATGAATGTATTTGTCAAATACCCAAACATGGGAAAAATAAAATGCAAACCTGCAAAGCACATGTAAGCTTGACACAATGGCACTCCCTCTGATTGTGGCAACATCTCCTTGGCCCTGGATCCAGACACATTTATCTGGGCCCAAGACAATTTAAATAAGGGCTGAATTAAATGTCTCCAGTGGAACAGTTTAAGACAAGCATCTGAATCTATCTGGAAAGAGTATAAAATATGTGCAGCAAGGTTTATGGAGAGCTTATTAAAATGACACCAAATGAATATACATTAAAATGCAGTTTCAGAAAATAACATAACCGGTGTGTCAGAAAAAGTTCTTCAGCCAAAGCTTATTATTCAAACATGAGTTATAAATTACAAAATTCTTGAGCCATAAAGAACAACCAGAGAGTATCTATGAGTCAATTTCATATTTCATATTAGAAAAAGGCAGATACGGGAAAAAAATGAGCTTCTATTTTATTTTTATCTACTTAATTCAAAATTTATTTTTGTCTATGTTTAGTAAAGTACAAAAAAAAGTTACTGTGTATGTATATACTTATTCTATAAATGAATAAAAACCAAGTGTGTACACTTAAAAATTTTGGCTAATAATGTTATATGATCAAAAGCAATTAGGAGACCACACATGGATTCCCACTCTGCACCATCTGTCACCTTAAGGCATCATTCAGTGCTACTTTAGCCTTCACTGTTAGACAGAGCTTTCCTCATTATTTTTCCTCATAGACTCAGCCTTTCTCATTACCTAAAAATTCCCCATGGCTTGGCTTTTACCAGCAGTATTGGATCGACACTGCTCTGAGTCAGCCTGTCAGCCTATCATGATGTTAAGGAAAGCACCATGGGCCTGAGATCAGCGATCCTGTCCAGTCACACACAGTGCTACCACCTTGAGGTCTCAGGAAAATGCAGGTCCTCCTATCATTTTCACAAGATGGTTCTTAGGATCAAGTCAAATCAAGGGTAGAAAAATGGTTCCCAAAGTATAAAATACACAGACCACTGCTATTGTTTCTTGTGTTATTACTAAATCCACAGACCTTCCTCCACAGTTCTTTCATGGACAGTCACTGATTATATCTAGAGAAGTGGAATAGGAAAGCTACCCAGTACTTCTCTGACCAATTCCAGATATTGTTACCATAGTAAATCTGTGCCCTCAAAAAAAGAAAAGCCGGATAGAGTGGTTCAGTGTGTTTGCCTAGCATCTGATAGGCCCTTGGGTTTAATCTCCAGCACAGCAAAATAAAATTATAATAATAATGAGGGGGGGAGAAAGGGGAGGAGTGGGAGAAGAATTAGTAGTTGTTCCAGATTAAGAGGTAGTAAACCTTGCGAAAATAAATGTGAAACTTTCTTTTATCTAAAGATCATTCAATTAATTTACTTGCAAGTAAATTACAACACTTGTGGATAAATCAAGTCTTTTTTCTATTTTCTTTCTTCCTTTTCTCATCTGGCTCTGATTGGTTCTTAGCCTATTTTTCTTTATTTTCCAAAAGAAACTGGCTAAATTATATAAAACAATAATAATGCCCAAAAAGTATAAAATTGAAATTTAATACTAGAAATTGGACTACTCACTGACTTTGGAGGAGTAAAAGAAATTTAGAGAGTGTTCTTTTATATTCTGTATATGTCTTGACGCTTAGCTTAAGAGAAGTAAGGAATGATTGTAGTTTACTGCTCTAAAAGCTCTCAAAATATCATTTATCCCCTAGTTTTTGTTAAAAATTTCTATTGGTGGCCCTACCGAGGTCCGGAGTCCCGCGGAACACGCTGAGTCAGCCCACTGCAGACAGGTAGGTCTGCGCACACCCTATCAAGGTCCCGAGTCGCAGGGAAGAAAGCCAAATCAGCCCACTACAGACAGGCAGGTCTGCGCACATGCTACCAAGATCCCAAGTCATGCGGAACACGCAGAATCAGCCCGCTGTAGACAGGCAGGTCTGCGCACGACCTACCAAGGTCCAGAGTGGCGCAGAACACACCAAAAAAGCCCACTCCTGACCAGCAGCTCTCTGCACACCCTACCGAGTTCCCAAGTTGCGCAGAACATGCCAAATCAGCCAGCTGCAAAAAGGCAGGTCTGTGCACACCCTACGGAGGTCCCGAGTCGTGCAGAACACGCCAAAGCAGCCCGCTCCCTGGCAGCTGTCCACTGGACCCCCCTCCCTGCTCCTCTGTACAGCCACCTGGTTCCACACTACAAGGACGCAGAGGACACTGAACCACCAGACCACAGTACTGAGTCCTGCTGCTCCTGGCGCAGAGGTAGGGGATTCTGAGCCGCCATCCCACTGCTCCTGGTCCAGAGGAAGGGGCTTCCTGGCCACCATACATTCCGCTGCTTTCAGCCCACAGGAAAGGGCTTTGGGGCCACCATCCCTACTGCTGCTCCCGGCCCCTGTGCCACCTCTCCCAGCTCAGAGGAGGTAATCCGTGCAGGTGCCAACAGCCCCCCCTAGTCGAAATGAGAAGACATGTAAATAAGTCTCAAAACCAGACTCCCAGATTACCTAAAGCAACCCTAAAGGGAAATGAGATGGAACACTCTGATACTCAACCACCTGGACCCACTGAACTGGCAAGAAAAGGGGATCTGGAAAAAATGAAATCAGAAATAAT